CCAATAAAGAAAATTTGATTATTTTATTTCATAAAACATATATTTTTTGTATGATTTAGCATCGTCATTTTAAAATAAAAAACTTTAATATTAGAATTGTAAACAGATTTACTGGTTTGATTATAAATTATTTAAAAAGAGAAAAAATAACATAACATTAATAAAATATCGGAATATGAAAAGTATAAATAAAATTGATAATTTCAAATATTGAAGCAAAATAAAATTTAATTCAAATGAATGCTAATTACTCTTTCGTTATTTTTGATAAATATAAACATAAACATATAAACAATCAAAAATTGTATGTATTTCTGAAATTCAATAAGATATCCGAAATTATTGACTAGGTTGAAAAGATATAATTCTTAATCAAAGTTTCTCTTTATTCCATTTTTATTATTAATTTAATTGTTACAATTAAAGTCGTAATTATAAAATAATTTATTGTTAATAATAATAGTAACAGTAGTAAAACTGTTAATTACGGATTATGAACATCGACCAACCCTTAAGCACGCTATCATCGACCACCATCCTCCCCCAACCACAAACAAACTCGGCCCTGTCCTCGCGAACAAAATAAACCCATAAACTTAGATTTTAAGCGCCAGTGTTAGGACCTAAAAGCTAAATATCTAGCGAACATACATACCCCTAAAATGGTATTATTTTCCTCGTAAATATGGGAATTGCATATGCATGTTTTATAATGGCTTCATACATCTTTATTATAATGTATATTGCCACCGAATTATATTTATATATATATATTGTTAATGTGTCGATAATTCTAGCGTCGAGCATTATATTACTTTTTGAATGGTAACATTTTTTTAAAATTTTCATTTAAAAGAGTGTAAAAAGTTTCTGATGCATTGCAAGTTTTGTATGAATCACCGCAACAAAAAATCTCTTTCAGAAACTTATATTAAAAAGAAATTGATTAATTGATATTTTCTGCTTACAGAAATATAAACTTGTTACATGAAACTGAACATCAGTTCAGTTTTGTATATAACTCGAAATTTAACGAAATTATTGAGAATAGTAGATTTTATTAAATATTTGTTAAATTATTTTATTTAAAGGAAATTAAATATAAATACATAATCAAAAATAGTAAATTTAATTCAAGCTTTGTTTTGTATAAAAACAAGAATTCCTCGCATAGTGTCAATATTCCGGACTGTTTGAAACCTCACTAATCGAGGTTTTTAAAACCACAAAAAACTGTTGTCAATCCAGATTGATCGATGGCGCATTATGAGTCGTATTGATGGCATATCATAACATCGTTACACGCGTGGCGTATGAGAAGCTCCGTCAAATATTACAATATTAATTAACTTATATAAATAAATTATTGATTAGTTTGATGTAAAATTAATGATGATGATGCATATTTCTTTTATAAAGATGTAAAAAAAATATCTTCATCAGTAATGATGATCTTTTTTTCTAAATGATTGTCTTTGATATAAACGTTGATACATTTTAAATTCATTATATGTACACTAATCACTAAAACTTGTCTTTTTTTAAAAATGGCAAAGTAAAATATTATAAAACTAATACTCGCGGGCGTCTGATATATTTTGCTAATAATATTTTGCAATCAATCCTTCGACGCATTACACTAAAATGGTGATGTGCTCGAGGTTGTCCTACTTTTCCAGTTTTAAAAGTTATGGTTGGTTTGTACCCACTGGCGACACATAGACGCCGCGCGAGTAAGGGGGGTTCACAATTTTCTTAATCATATATTATTTACATTTATATTTTAATTTCTATATTTGAGTCATAATGTTTGAATGCAATTAATTAATGCTGCTGAAGTGCAAAAAATAATTTCATATAATGATTACGAAACATAAACAATATTATAGAGTAGATAAACAATAAATGTTTAAAAATGTATGTAAAATTACATTAGTAATTAATAATTAAATCATGGTTTCAACATGAATATATATTAAATGCACTGCACAAATGGTAATAAATTGAATTATTAATGTACACTATTCATTATTATTAGAGCATCAAAAAGCAATAATGACTTTTTGCGTGAATTCGTAATTCTGGTTAAAACCAGCGTGTTTATGGTTTGTTATGCAACTGCATACTATAATTAATATTTTCTCTAAATCGAATGTCGGGCAGCCATATTATTTTAGCAAATAGTAATTATATAATGAATGTTTGATTTCCAAATAGAATAAACAACAACCCGAATTGAAATATGAATGACTGAAATAATAAACCGCACGCGATATTTAAATATGATACTATTTAATTTCTCGAGGCAAATAATATAATGAAACACATCAATCAGTATACAACCAATTTTATTTTAATTTTTTTAGTAGGTATATCAAAATTATTGGATTTATTTAATATCATGTTTCATGTTTGATTTAAATATAATTTGCAGCGTAAAATTATAATATGCGTTTATTTGTTTGTTTTGTGATTAGTTAATTTACTTTGGATTGACCGGTTTTCATGAAACATGTAAGGTCTTACAAGATGCATTCAATTTTATGGTGAATGCGCCGGGCAGTAATACAACAGTAGCAATATCTGACATAGTGCGTCCTCGATTCATAACAAACACAATTGTAATATGTCTAAATAGAAAAAAAATCGAAAAAATTGGTATACAAAATTATTTTCATATATTTTTACGTTTTTTTGTTCGTGATATTGGTGGAACCAATTACCCGAATCTTTGAGGTATTGTAGTACTAGTATTTATTTAAATAATTATTTTTATACTAAATAAGTAACTTCAAAAAATACATCAATAATGGCAACACTGAGGCTAAAAGACTCGTAAAAGTAAAAGTATTTAGATTCCTAATAAAATCGCTTCTTAGTCTAATTCGTATTATCTGAATACAACAGGGTTTGGTCACAAATATAATTTTTCATAAGTCTTTATGCAGACATTATACATATTATTATTACATGTTTTCTTTGCAATTACTAAAAAGTTTTTTTTTCTATTTGGCAAAATATAAAATTTATCCATAAACTGTAAGTCCAATTGTTTATGCAAGTTTAAGTTTTTCTGTACATTTTAGAGTAATTTTTATATTAATTTTGTTCTTATGTGATTCATCAAAATTGTTTGTACTGGAGGCGCCGGGCATCGATCCCGGTACCTCTCGCATGCTAAGCGAGCGCTCTACCATCTGAGCTACGCCCCCATAGTACTGCTATAAATCCCCAAATTTTGCGCTCCAATTTAGGTACTTACCAGTTGATTGGGTAAGCTCTTCTCATGGATTCATTAAAATTGTTAGTACTAGAGACGGCGGACATCGATCGAGATGTACCGAGATATTTAACTGGAAGATTATTACAAGTAAAAGTGTTCGATGCGGTGACGAATTTGTATCCAATCACGTCAGGTGTACTGCAAGGTAGCGTGCTAGGACCTATCCTGTATATACTATATACCGCAGATATGCCCTTAACGGACAAAACAACAGCTGCAACATTTACCGATGATACTGGAATATTATCATCTGATACAGACCTAGCAGTTGCATCACATCATCTGTAAGTAAATCTGAACCTAATACAGGAATGGCTACAAAAATGGAGAATGAAGGTCAATGAATCGAAATCAGTACATGTCACCATTATCATGAGAAAGAACTCCTGCCCACCAGTGACGCCTAACGGAAAAATAATACTGGCGGCCAATAAAGCTAAATATCTGGGTATGCATCTGGATAGAAGATTGAACTGGAAGAGATCACATCCAAGCAAAAAGAAAAAAACTCGAAACAAAGTTCAGGAAATTTTACTGGCTATGTGAAGACTCGCCAATTTCGAAAGAAAACAAGTTTCTGATCTATAAAGTAATTTTAAAACCTATCTGGACATACGGAAACAATTGTGGGGAGTCTGCAGCAGATCTAATATTGCGACCATACCAAGATTACAGTCGAAGAGCCTAAGAAGGATCATGGTATATTATGAACAGGAGAATTTATGAGGACTTTCAAAAGAAGAAACAATTACTAAAAACAGTAGCCGATACCAAAACAAATTAGACATACATCCAAACGTACTAGCTGTTAATTGTCTGGACAATAACCTAACAACACAGCGATCAAAGCGATACAACCAACTGGATCTACCCTTGAGATTCAACAAATAACCAATAAGTAAAGGATAATCGCCAATGGGCGAAGTCCAATTAAAATCTTGTCAACCGCCAGGTCATTTACTGATTGTTTTTATTACAGAAAAGTAGTGAATAAAAAAGAACAATAAAAAACAATTACAATATAAAATTTATCCATAAACTAGAACTCCAATTGTTTATCCAAGTTTATGAATTTATGTACATTTTTTAAATTCATTTACTTTTTACTTATGTTAAAGTTTAGTGAATGAGTTTAGTTGATTCAACAACAAAATCCGTTTGGTCGGTAGTATTATTTATTTTAATAATATATTTACAATTTATATATTGTATAGTGCTCCTCTACTCACTTGGGTGTCCTTTAGATATATTTTAATATAGGCATAAGTACAAATTGTTTGTTGAATGATCCAATGTTATATCCATATAAAAAAATAATAATTTTATTTGAAATGCATATAAAAACTAATGGATTTAAATTTAAATGTGATATTAAAATAATGTAGAATTATCAAATAGAAAAAATAAGTAAAGAAAAAAGGTTATTATATTCCTGTATAATGGAGAATTAATTTATTCTGGACTGAGAGTAAAGGTCGAAAACAAAGTGAGCAGCGCAAAATAAGCTGAAAAAAAGTAGTAAGTCGTCCCGAGATGCATTCAATTTTATGGTGGATGCGCCAGGCAACCTCGTATAATTCTCTTGCAAAAGCCTCAATATGTAAATCGTGCGAACGATATTATTATTACTACATTTTTTTCGTCGAAGTTTTCGCTTCATTTCGTTTAATATATATTCCATTCTGCATGTAATGCATCCCTTTATTCTTGTCCGCAGGTCGAAGGGTCAGAAACACGGAGTCGAACGGGATTTCGGTTCTCGGAGATTTTAATCACGGTAAGTCGTTTAAGACATAACGGTAACTGGAAATGGGGCGTTACGTAACGCCCTTGCAGTTCTTTAGTTCGATGTATGTGTGTGTGTGTGTTTATATATGTATGAATATGGGTGTGTGTGTGTGCGTCGTGGGTATTGCTTTCGCATAAAGCGTCTTATATGGATAATAAAAAGGGGAACGAGATTAAGGTTGCGAACTGGGCGGAATGGGCTAATGCAGAGGCCCGGGTTCCGGTACCCATTGAATACACAATGGTGACCCGTCTCGTGGACGCAAAGAGACGGAAGAGGAAAAAGCAAAAAGAAAATAATGCAGAAAAGAAAGTATAAGAAAACAGGGGGGACGAAAAAGAAGAAAGAATTAAAAAAAAAAGAATCAAGGAAAAACGAAAAGCGTCGACATTGATTGGCGCTATAACGTTCAATAAAAATCGCCAACGACCACGTAAATATTTCATTATCGCCCTCGCCCTCGCTTTAAAGTGCATTATTTATTGGCGCACTTAAAAACCCAGACACCATTTATATTCGCTACAAATACGCGCCCGATTTTCTTCTTTGCTATTTTTGTTTGTTGGATTATTATTTGTATCCAGTTTGCTTTGCTTTCTGTCGGGGTTAGGTTGGGTGGGTTTTTGTTTGTTCGGTTTTTGGCGTCACCTTTTGATGCCGAGCGTTTCCATCTGGTCGGGGTGTGTCTGCTCTGGGGTAAATATGGAATGATAAATGAGTACAGATGCATGACTAATCATTTATGCTAGCTAGTATCAAGAACAAATCTTTAAAAGAGTGATGAATGTATGGTTGCGCTGCTTTGCAACCGACACTCTTTCTCTATATCTTTCACCACTCATTTTTTAATTTGGATACAGTGAGGAATAGTAGGTGGAAAATATGTGTAAGCTAAAATCTATCATCCCTACAGAAACAATTTTTACAAAATTTATTTTCTCAGCTGAATTATGTCACTATTAATTCATAGACTAGTTCACCAGGGTCAATTTGACCACGCGTCGTTTCAGTACATATTGCCATTTGTTTATCATGCAATCTAGTAATTTGTCACTTGTAAATATGTTTCAGTGTAAGATAAGACAATATAGCTTATTATACTCAAATAAGATACTTACTAATGTAATAACATTTTCCCTGGACATTTTCTACAAACCTATGTATCGTACTATTGGAGGATTACAGAATGATTATTATAAATTAATAATATATTTTTGTCAATTAAAGATATACTAAATTACTGATTGCAGTGATGGGAAAAATATGTGACTTTCCTAGATCTGACCCGTCACAGATTTTATAACAATAATAAAGAAAATTTCAATGTTTAAAACAAATCAATTTTTTTGGCCCAGTCCTAATATACAAACACAATTTATCAATTATTTTTTTATGTCGTGTAATTTTATTCACAATCTGTTCATCAATGTGAGAATTGAGTAAATTTAAGATCGCGGTTGACATTAAATAGATAAGCTTTCCCGGTGGATTATGGTTACCATTATGATAATTTGATTTTAATTTGTTGGTTGGCTGTCGTCTTGTGGGTTAACTTCAGTAGTATATTGATGCTCTGCGATTCCACTATTTCCTTAACACTGTCATTGTCCATCGACTTGGCTGAAGGTCCATATGCTGAACCTTATTCATTTCACTGTCCATCTGTGATGAACGATTGCCCTATTGCTGCAAGCACCAATAGGGCTCACAAAGGGCCTGGCTTGACCAGGATTTAAACATGTGACCACTGGCACACAGGTAGGATGACTTAGCCATTCGGCTATTAGTCGCCCTCAATTATATTTAAAAATATTTAATTGATCTATGCTAATTATAATATATTGGCTCTGTCATTTATTTCAAATTATATCTATAACATTTATACATTGCTACATTATGTGTATTTATTACAATATGTGAAACATTCTGATATTTGCTTGTTTACATATTCCAAAATAAGTTTTAATAGTACTTTATATGCATATTACTGCTGTGGAATGCACCAGTATTGCATTTTCGGTTGACTAAATTTTCTCTGTAATCTTGTTAAGTAATTTTTTCTTAAGATATACTCTAATATTACTATTGTTATTTTTTAGATCCTAGTTTCTTAAGATAATCATTTAATCTTAACTTAGGTTCATTTTATTTCATGCAATTCTTACAGAGTATATGATTATATCATGGAATAACGTAAAAATCGAAAAGTATGCAAAAACGCATAATTTCATTGTTTATTAATTATGATTTTTTAATTTACATAAACCAAAACAATAATAAGGCAGTCAATAGCAATTTGTATTAGTTGACTTTTTTTTTAACAAAAATATTGAAAATTATATATATTTATGTAACAACAATAAATTGTGTAAAATAAGTTAGTAATAAATAATTATAATAACAATTTATTCAATATTCTTTGCAACAGTTAATAAGTTTTTTGTTATATTATTACGATTATATAAAGTTGTTTTATTTGTTTACGTGATTATTATAATCAAAATAAAAATAAGTTATCAAAAACAAAAATACTATATAAATAGATACACGTGAAACCTTAAGAATGAAGAATATCAATAATTATATATAATTAAGTAGTTGACTTTTTATTTTATTATTAAATTATGCCGAATTAAAGTAAATTTTTATAAATTTTTTTTAATATATAATCATTATCAGTATTAAATTGCCTTTAGATCCAATTACCGAATTTTAATAAACTCGTAACTTGTTTAATTCTTGATACATGTAAAACTAATTAGTTGGACTATGTGAACTATTGCTCTATATGTAAATTCGTTTTAATTAAACAAATTATTTGGACTTAATTTAATTACTGGATAATTTATACAAATATACAATTTAGTTAAATTATTTTAATTACATTTCATATTACAAATATTTTACATTTACATATGAGAAATAACGATTTTACAACAAAATGCATCAAAAAGCTATATTCTATAATTACACATATAATGTTTATTAGGTCGATAGCCTAAAGACGTTTACAACTTAAAAATGAACAAATTTCTCCCGGATGGGTGCAGGGTGCAGTGTACCATAGTATGTTTACCTCAAGAATGTGCAATGGTGTGGCGGTGTGGGGAAACACAATAAAAGAAAACGTAAAAGCAAAATAACGTAAATAGTGTTTGCAAATAGCCGTGACACGCAGATAGAGGCACAGACAAAGATACTAATACACAAAATATTTAAAAAAAAAAATGCGACACATACGATCACAATACGAGAGATAGAAGAAATATATGAATGGAACAAAATACAACTAAATGAACAGGAGTTTACTGGTACAGGGAGTTGCACAGTACAACATGGTTCCAGAAGAAATAAGATTAGAAAATGACATAAATAAGTTCAAAATAAAAATGATGTGTTGGATGCAGGGTCGCGGAACGAAGACATAGAACATGGAAAACCAATAAGCCCGCTCAAAATACCGGTTCCAAGGAGCGTACCGAAAGAACCGAACCTGAGGGGTATACACAAAAATATACAAAAATAATAATATAAATGTATAAAAATATTGTAAAAATTGTATATAAATTTTAAAAAAAATCTATGAATTCATGAAAAATATTAGAATTCACCAATTATACGTTACAATGGGGTAATGGAAATATGTCATTACCTAGTCATTATAAACAAGTCGTACAAATATTCTTCAAATACTGGAATACCTTGCATAGTGCGGGTTATCGATTCTTCTAATATCTCGGACTGTTTGAAACCGAACTAAAATATTAGAATTCGCCGTCTACACGTCATAATAGGGTAATTTCAACATACAAGAATATATTTTGGGATAATAAATAAATAAAATCCGACCACTGACATAAAAAAAGAAATTATAAAAAAAATTATAACAATATAATGTTGTGTACTAATAAAACAATAAACAAAATTGATTGTACAATAACTACAAAGGGCGTAGTCTTTCCGTCCTCTGTTTACTAATTTTATAGTATATATTTTTATATTGCAGAATTGAAATGTAGTTTGTTTTTTTAAATATTTTTAGTGCAGTTTGACTAAAGTGAATCCGGACTGATCAAAGCCGCATGGTTTTGATGTACTGTAAAAGGGTATAATATAACAAATTTTCAGTTTACTTAATAAATTATTTGGATATAATTAATATTGAAAAATAATGACTCATTTTTAAAAACCTAATATTACCATCTGTGCAGAGAATATACTCCGGCAAATACAGTATGATAAATGAGTATGAGATGTATGACTAATCATTTATACCAGTATCAAGAACAAATCTTTAAAAGAGTGATGAATGTATGGTTACATCACTTTGCAACCAAGACTTTTTTCTTTTTCTACTTATTTTTAATTCGTTTACAGTGAGGAATGGTGGGAGGAGAAAATATGTTTGCTCAGAAAATCTATCATCCATCCAGAAACAATGTTTGAGCGAAAATATTTATCTGCTCATCTGTATTATGCTCAACGATTAATTTTCTTCGAACTCCATTATCCTCTTATTTAATAATGTATTATCCTCGAAAAACATACTGCTTTATATTCGCGAGAGCAAATACGAATCACTCCCCATCGTATTATTAATACACGTTCTAATGGAACGCTTGCTTCTCTGATCACAAGATCAATCTATAACAAATGAGAAACCCACATTTCATTCTACGAAAACAATGCTACACTCTTAGCACGTCTGGTAACTGACTGAAACGATTTTCCATTACACAGTGCATCACTGAATGACCTCATTTTTCCTGACTCTTTACATTAAATATTACACAACAATATCAATACAACGAAAATAACATAGATATCAAGTATATATATTTATTTTATAAGAAGTATTGATAACATTTTTTCAATCATTTTTTTTTTCTTCATATATTTCATAATATTCTTTAATAATTAGGCCTTCTAAATACAAATAAAATAAATAACATTGAACAAAATGATATACTGCTTAATATTGACATAGT